AATCTTTCTAATTTTTTATTTTTTTTGTAGAATGATAATTCATAAGCCGGCCTCTTAAGCCACATACCCTCAATCCAGAAAAAGTTTTCCTTATCAAATGTATGTACACAGCTCAGCCACTGACAGTCCTGAATGTTCTGATCAACACAACAGTCTGCATTAAAAGGAGAGGATACCCAGGAAGACATATAGTAAAAATATCACTATTTGTTTATAGTTTCTAATTCTACGACTATCTGGAGCCAGGTCTGTCAAATGCATTAAAGTTGTGTTGGTGCCCAGAGTGTCCCTTTAAGAAAGTATGCTGGATAGCTGCTTAAGGGATAACTTTCCTGGATAGGAACATTACAAAAAAATATTTATTTTTGTTTTAGTATGTTCCTTAGTAAATTTAGATTGAGTAGGTTTAAATTCAGAGCCCATCCTTTGTAAAAATAAAATAATATTAAATAGAATGTTTAAACAAAAAAAAAAAAAAACTTACTTCAATCCAGTGCCTGACTTATGCACAGCAAATATTTTTGGTCCTTCTGTATTGATTTTGTACAGATTCCTGACATTTTTTTGGTTTGAAAAAATTTGTTTGGTTTGAAAATTCAGTTCAGTTAAAAAAAAAATAGAATCAGACACAGTTTGAAATAAAGGAAACATGGTGTCTATAGTGTTCCTTTAACAAGAAAACAACTCTCAAATGGTTTATTTGGAATTAAGAAAAATTTCAATTTGGAATTTGGAAATCACTAACACGATTGATTGGAACTACACTTGAGCATATTATCAGAATGCTACAGTTTTATAATTCAGAAATAGATTTGCTGAACTTAGCATCACGTAAAACCATGTAATGTAATGTTTGTATATGACAATGTGTAATTTGCATGTGATTGTGTGCTTCATATGTATGTGACTGCATTTGCATGTGTGACGTTTGTGGCGAAACCAACCTCGCCACTGTGAACTGGAGAAGCCTGGTTGCTCGCCTGCTCCCTTTGGACTATGGCCCTGCAGGTTAAACCGTTTATTTCCCCTGCAGAAAGGCTTATTTGTGTGATCTGAGTGCCATTCATCTAATAATGTGCACTCAGATCCCAGCTATCTGGGGATATGTGAAATGTCTGTGCGTTATGTGTAAATGTGACTTTATGTATTTTAAAGTGTTTTGTGTCTTTTTGCAACCATGTGCTTAATGGAGTCTTGTGTCTATCCTGGGAGATAATTGAATTACTCTCCAGGATAGAAGACTCTGAAACTGGTTTGGGCCAGAAAGCCATGCTTCATTTAGTCACAAAGGACTTTCCCTTAACTTTTGAACTCCTGGTCTGATTCGTGCCATTTTTTAATATGTTGTTATCTGAATGGATTGATTATGAAAATGTATGTTTTATGTTTGTGACATGTATATTTTAGAAGTTAGAAATATTGTGTAAAAACTGTATTCCTCTGCCGGTGATAATGAGATTACCCATTGTGTTCAGTAATCATATCACCTGCAGAGAGGGAGGATTTTGTGTGGGAGTGTCTGGGTGTATTGTACGGATTGATTGGTTGTTTTGTAACGCCCTGTGGGCTGTACTATGTTTGTGGATTGGGAATAAAAGAGACTGTATGTGACAGTACAGGGAGTTCCTGCTTTAACCCTCAAAGTGAAGTGTCGTCTCATTATTGGGGGAAGGATTTATTGTATGCTGTTCCAGTTTGACTGCTAGGAGAGTAAACCTATTCGTATGGTTCCTATTCAACTGTCTACAGCATTCTTATGCTTGGGAGAATTTATTTGTTTCTCCGGTTCGGTGATTGGGGTGTCTGCCAGAGTGCTTTGAGTCCTCAGGAAGCGCTAGGAGCATCCTTCAACGGAGGTACCCAGTCGGGGTGCCAGGCGATCCGTTACAACGTTTAAATGATTCAATTTAGGACAGCTAATGAATATGCTTATCTATATATGACTGCGTGGGTTATTGGTGTGTAAAGGGATTTTTGCAGAGGTTATGTGACAGTGTGGGCAGACGTATTTGACTGTGTGTGGTGCTACGTGACAGATTGTGTAGATATGACTAGGTGGAAGTTGTACATCACTAAGTGGTGATGGTGAAGTAAGAGGAGGTCACTGAACCTTTGCTGGAGGGTCTCAGTTGCTCCAGTGCAGCACTTTGAAGAGGATAACGTTTCTTGAAGATGATGATGTGCGGTCTCCAGGTTATGCAGTGTGGGGGCGTTATATTGAAGGGGAGAATGGCACCACAGTGTGTGGGAGTCTAAGACCAAGGATAGGACTAAACCTCCCCATGCCCTCCCACAGTGCCACACACAGTATTTTGTGTTTACTGCCCAATGCCCACTAGTATAGGCACAAATTCACATAGGAGACTGCCGAAGTAGCAGCCACTCACTGTTAAACATTTAGCTGGGTGGGATGTAGGGCGGCCGTGGCTGCAGCATAAACATTTTTAATATGGCGCTGGATATGGAGAACCAGCTGCACCAGCTGCACCAGCGGTACCAGCTGCAAACGGTTAGATCTCAAACTGCACTGACTCTGTGCAGGCTGGACATCTGCAGTGCATTGCATTTCCTGCCTTTAGGGCAGCAAAGCATGACAGGAAATGTACTTCATGCTGTAACTTCTCTCCTCTATTGCTACTGCTCTAGTGCTCCACTCTGTCCAGCTGCATCTTTGAGGTCTATTCACCTCTTCATGCATCTCATAGTACAACAATATATGTATGTCAAACTTTAAGGCTGCATTTCAGTCACCAGAGATGGTGGGAGAACACTGGGCACATTTTGGCGATGAAGGGAACTGTTATTCCTTGTAGCTGTGGTAGAGGTTCCTGGGTTAAAATATACTTGTCCTGGGGACAAGTGTGGTTTCTACAGAAAACTGTCATTTGTATGTATTAGCTTTACATTGTGAGCTGTGACGGCCGTGTGGCACCCCTGTTACTACGGCGCCTGGTTGGCTGCACAGCTCGCACACCCCAAAAGCCAGCTCTGCTTACCATACATCATCAAAGTGAATGTTTCCTTCTATCTCAGCACTGTATATCCTGCGAGACTGCACTATCCACGTTATCGCCCTCTCAGAGCAAAGTTCAAAATGCAGGGTCGCAGGCTTTTCAAAGACAGTTCTATCGCCCTATAAAGGCAAATTAATCTTGAGTTATTTTTTAGTAAATAGAACAAAACACTAGGTGTATTAAACAGGATTTGTGAAGAAGGGAATTTATTGCTTTTCTTTATATTAAAAAAATGCATTTTAAGAGCATTTTACATTCAAATCCTGTTAAAATAATCTATAAATTATCCAAGTATAAAATTAACAAAATGTTGTGTCTTTAACCAAACTGTAACAATGGAAGAATTCACCAATAAGGTCTAGCAGATCGATCCATGCGCCCTCTGCAATGCAGTTCCTAAAACGCTTTGCTATACACCAACATTCCTCTACTATTTTCCTCCAAAAAGCCCTGGGTAATGACCAGGATACAGAACATTACCTGCCAAAAGTTGGTACTTATTTTACACGCAGCCTGTATTTTGCCACCTTTTCATACTCCTCTAGTTAAACCCATTTCAAGATTCATTAAACATGATTAGAGAATTTAAATTGAAGCCTCCAAGATTCCTTGAATATGATTCTTACCATTCAGCTGAAAATTAAAGCCACATTATGGAGCATGTTTTGAGATGATTGGATTTTTTGGGGATTTTTTTATTTAAAAACGCTGACGTAAAGCTATCAGAGCATTTTTTGCACTGGGAGAAGAGGCACAAGGAGCAAAATATTAATCAACAGGCTTGATTTACTTGTCAGATTTCCAATCCAGTAATGCTTTTGGTAAGACTCAGATGTTAATATTGACAAAATGTAGTTCTTCCCTTCTTAAATCGATAAAATATAAAATAGTAAATGTGTGTCTTCCTCGGTTAATCAGATGTTCACACTTTTTTTTTTTTAACAAAACATTAACTAATACCCTATTAGACTTTCACCTACACACACATTTTTTTATATAAAAAAAAAAAATTCTGAATATTATTCCTCAGCTAGAAACAGTCAATTTCTTAGACGTTGGCAATGTGCAGAAGGTTGGTCTGTCCACTTTATTGTGTAGAAATATTTATGTTAAAGGAACACTATAGTCACCTAAATTACTTTAGCTAAATAAAGCAGTTTTAGTGTATAGATCATTCCCCTGCAATTTCACTGCTCAATTCACTGTCATTTAGGAGTTAAATCACTTTGTTTCTGTTTATGCAGCCCTAGCCACACCTCCCCTGGCTATGACTGACAGAGCCTGCATGAAAAAAAAACTGGTTTCACTTTCAAACAGATGTAATTTACCTTAAATAATTGTATCTCAATCTCTAAATTGAACTTTAATCACATACAGGAGGCTCTTGCAGGGTCTAGCAAGCTATTAACATAGCAGGGGATAAGAAAATCTTAATTAAACAGAACTTGCAATAAAGAAAGCCTAAATAGGGCTCTCTTTACAGGAAGTGTTTATGGAAGGCTGTGCAAGTCACATGCAGGGAGGTGTGACTAGGGTTCATAAACAAATGGATTTAACTCCTAAATGGCAGAGGATTGAGCAGTGAGGCTGCAGGGGCATGTGCGATACACCAAAACTGCTTCATTAAGCTAAAGTTGTTCAGGTGACTATAGTGTCCCTTTAAGGCAGTTCTTGTATATTAGGTCATAGGATGAGACTGTCACATATTTTACTTATGTTTTGAAGAAAGCAAGTAGTGACACTTGGGTTAGAGAAACATAAAATTCAATTTGAAGACAAAGAATAAAAACTAATTGACCAAGCTGATATCCAAATTGTATTCCGATTGACTGCTTGTTGCTTTTAGTCAATTAAAATACAGATATACGTTATGGCCACTGATTATGTATTGTACAAATGAAAATAAAATTTTGATGCAAATTTTTAATAAACAAAAAAATTGTGAAGGGTTAAGCATTCCTGAATCAATGCTTCTAGTGCACCACCATGTTTCTGGAGACAGCAGTAAAACATGACCGCCATATTTCTGGAGACAGCAATCAAACGCCATCGCCATGTTTCTGGAGACAGCAATCAAACACCATTGCCATATTTCTGGAGACAGCAATCAAACACCATCGCCATATTTCTGGAGACAGCAAACACCATCGCCATATTTCTGGAGACAGCAAACACCATCGCCATGTTTCTGGAGACAGCAATCAAACACCATCGCCATGTTTCTGGAGACAGCAATCAAACACCATCGCCATGTTTCTGGTCAACAATAAAAATCAGTTCATTTAGGATTCTGTTTTGAATTCAGTGCTAAATTATAACAAACTTCCATTATCATTGTAATTTTTTATGTATTTACTAATCATGTTCACTATGAAATGATTTCTAGGCTATTTAATAAGTTACATGCTAACCTTTACATTATGAATGTGTTGCGAGTGTACTCATTTCATAGCTGTTTATATTTCCACTGTTCTTCGTGTCGTCTAAAATAGTCTGTAAAATGAGTGTTTACAAAGCGCTGCTATTATAATTACATATTATGTGGAGCTCTATTACATTACACAATGCTCAGCTTATTGTAATTGTTAATTGCTTGACCCCCACAGCCAAATAGTTTCATTATTTTTATTCGGATAACAAAAAATTCTAGCATTATCAATACATACTGTTCCAAATGTTAAAATGATATTTTTCATGGTTATAATTACTGCAAATAAATAGTGAGAAAGAGAGAAAATGCATGTTCCTTTTGGATAAAGCTTCGAGAAACAATCACTTGACTTTTTAAATTTTTTTTTTACTATTTAATAGCTGTACTGCTCAACCCCCAAACCCCAATACACATATTGAGAAGCCTGTGTGCTGGAGATGCATGCAGTTGTGGCTTCCAACTGCTTCTCAATTGTAGTTGGAGTTGTAGTATACCTCCCGGAGAAGGAGAGGTGTGCTTTAGATCATGGCTATCACGTCTGATAGCTCTATGGAGCCCTGTGGAGCCAAAAGAAGTGGAAGAACGTCTTTCTGGCTTAATGGCAGCCATAGAGGTGTTTCTGCCCCTCGTCAGAAGACTGGAATTTTCTATTGAAAGTGTAAAAAAATGGTAGCCTCCACATACACAAAGCATTTAAAGGAACACTATAGGGTCAGGAACACAAACATGTATTCTGACCCTATAGTGTTAAACCATCATCTAGACCCCATCCCCCCCTCTTGCCCTCACTTGCCTCTCTAAATATAGTAAAATCTTACTTGTATTCAAATCTGCAGCTGCTGCTCTTCCCCTGATTTGACTGCTTGGCTGACATCACCAGAAGTGATTCTGTGAGCCACAATGCTGTCCCATAGGATTGGCTGAGACTGACAAGGAGGCAGATCAGGGGCAGAGCCAGCACAAGTCAAACACAGTCCTGACCAATCAGCATCTCCTCATAGAGATACATTGAATCAATGCATCTCTTTGAGCAAAGTTTATTGTCTCCATACAGAGGGTGGACACACTGAATGTCAGTCACACTGTGCAGCACTGCCCCAGGAAGCACCTCTAGCAGCCATCTGAGGAGTGGCCAGTGGGGTATCACTAGGCTGCAATGTAAACACTGCATTGTCTCTGAAAAAATTGCAAAAAGCCTGAAGGTAATGATTCTACTCACCAGAACAAATACATTAAGCTGTCGTTGTTCTGGTGGCTATAGTGTCCCTTTAAGCAGCTGAAGTGCTTTACATGCCTGTGGTGTTCTTTTGAATTGCCTATTTACAGACAAAACACATACAGGGTTATTTATTAAAGTGAGAATTCACAGTAAATTTCAGATTTAAGGACAAATAGCCGAACTGGAAACATTCTCTAAGTCACCCATGCTTTCAGCTCGGCTACTCTGGCCTCAAATTTGAAATTTATTTTGAATTCACTTAGTGAATAATTCTGATCACACTGGATTGTAGTGAATTCAAGGTTTTGACAATTGTTGCCCGAATTCAGCAAGTTTGGTTTTAATTCACTGTAATGCAGAGTTTGGTGAGTCGGGTTCTGACTGTACAATAGAAACATTCAGCTCCTGCGATAAATGTAGTTCGGAGTTAAAAATACTATTAATTTAATCTGCTGCATCTCTTCCAGGAAAGTCGGCTTTACACCCCTTTTGATTGATTACACAGATACTTGAGATATGCTGGTCATTAAATTAACATTAAGGGTGAATATTACAATACATGGCAGAGGACATTTCCCTGTGACCGATACCCTTGACAAGACATAGCGCTGACATTTGCTAATAAGCAAAGTTCTGGATTAATACACAGAGAGACGGATACATTGTAACTAGAAATGGCCAATTTCTATGGTTTGTCTGTCATAGGGATGTTTGCTTTATTTTTGCACAGAATGCATTGAAACTCATCGGTGGTTGAGAATAAGTAACAAATATTTTCCAGTAACTCACATTTTAGATTTCTTTGATTTTTTTGCTCACATTTTTATATTGGGTGAATAGCTGGGGGAAGTGAAAGTGTTGATTTTTCAATGTTTTGAAATAAAAAAAAACAAAGAAAAACTCAAAGCATTCTCGGATTTTTTTATCGTAGCCTGTGGTAAAATCACCGGTTTCAAGTTGATGTCCCATCCTTGCTTGGAATACAATGCACACTCATGACTTAGGAGAATGTTTTATTCAGTAATTTATGTAAAACATTCAAATTTTGCCCCAGTTTGGTGAAAGGCTAATGCACAGGACCCCTGCATTCATAATCATGTTGCACTATTCATTTTAATGGGCTACTCCAAGCGCCATGAACACTTCAGCGATCTAAAGTGGTGATGGTGCCTGGAGTCAGTATGTGCAGTGTTACAATATGAAATGTATTCACATACAGAGTTTAACTCCTTTGCTATTGGTGGTGTAACTCCATATCTGGCAGCATCATTAGGGCAGCATTAGCCAAGCTTAAGAGTTCCAGGCTGGCTAATGCCAATTCTATGCAAATGTGCATGCACAGCAGGGCTCGAGTCCTGCCCGAACACGTAGGAGCGGTTGTCCTGCATATTTTCCACAGCAGGAATGCTGTTCCCGTTAGTATTGCTGTGGCCTGCAGTGCTGGCCTTTGGGATGCGCAAGCTATGCAGCCTCATAGGGCACCGGGTGGCCGACACAGCTCGCAGTCAGTTACTTACAGGCTGGCTCCACTATTTCATAGCGTGGAGGAGGAGCGAGGGGGCACGCAACGCCACTTACTGAGGCAACGTCAACGTGCTCCGCCTCCGCCTTCATTGTGTTTCGGAAGGATCCGGTCTGACTGTGAGTGAGGGACACTGCTCTAAACATGCTAGCGGCAGCGGAGTCGGACAGGAGGACACTATTTGTCAGCTGGGTCCAGAAAGCATCAGGCACTTTGTTTAAATTTGAGTAGAGTCTGGTTCGTGTATTTTTTTTTATTTTTAAATGGATTGGGTTTTGTAGAAGGGGGACAGCGGGTTGGTAAAAGAGGAGGGGGCAGTGGTTTGGGCAGTGGTTTGGGATTGTAAAAGGGTTGGTAGGGGGGGTTGTAAAGGGACAGGAGTTGTAAAAGAGGGAGAGTTTAACAGGGCGGTTGTAAAACGGGGAGGTGGCAGGGTTTTTTGTAAAAGGGGGAGCAGGGGAAGGGTGTTTGAAAAAGTTGAGGCAGGGCCTTGTTAAAGAGGGGGCAGGGTTTTTTAAAAAAGGGGGGCAGAGGGTTTTGTAAAGGGGAGGGCTTGGGTTTGTAAAGGGGAAAGCAGGGTTTTTTTGTAAAAGGGGGGCATGTTTTTTTTAGAAGGGGTGGCAAGGGCATGGCAGGAGTTTGTAGAATGGGGCAGAGGGTTTTGTAGATTGGGGCAGAGGGTTCTGTAGAAAGAGGTGGCAGAGGATTATACTTTTAAAGCGGTAGTGGTGCTGTCACTGTCTGGGGATTTTGCTGAAGACCCCTGCTTCTATAGTTTTGTAGCAGCTGGGGAACCAGGCTAGGCCTGAAGAGGTTATGGTGCCTTGAGTAAACCTTTTTTTTCTGAGGAGAGAAGCTTTTGTAATTTTTTCAATATATTTTTTATTGAAATATATTTTAAAGTGCCTCTCGTAACATAACTTGGTGCTTTAAATAACATAAAATATCAGCTATACATTGTGCCAAGCAAAATGCTAGCAAATATAAAGATTAAATTTATTCACTTAGTGCAAACATTTACCATCTTGGGCTTCTAGCGTGCTTTCATAAACTAGAAATGGTGGGATACTAATAAACGTTATTGGAGGGAGGGCAGATACAGATACAAACATAGCAATTTCAGAACTAGCCTTGTGCAATTCATTTGGAACATTTTGTGAAGCAGAGCAACACAAAGGCACAACAAAAATGAATGGATCCGTAACTAATCAAATCAATTTGTTTTGGAATGTTTGTTTTAAAAAGATAGCAAAGAAAGCAAATGAGTTCGTTATCTACTAAACAACTCAAAAAGCACAATTAAGAAAAGCACTTTTATTAATTTGTATTTTTGAGCTGTTTAGTAGATAGTTCCCTAATTTGGTATTCTTAAATATGACAATCCCATACAAGTATAACAATATAGGGAGTTATCTACTAAACAGCTTATATATCAAAATTACTTTGTGACTGACACATAGGGAATAAAGGGCTTCTGAATTTTGAAAAGTAATAAAATGTTGGGTCAAATTTAATATTGTATGAATTGATATTTTCTGAATTTCGGACGAAGCTAATTTCAAAAGCGAATTAATCAAAATGAAGCAAAACAGACAAATATTTCTGCCATGCACGTCTCTATTGAGCACTCTGTTAGATGACGAATAAGAGGAAATTAAACTGAGAAACATTTAATCGACACACTTGCTGACAATATCTTTACTACCATTTAAAGGATGAATACATTTATCTATAAGTGAGCCGGGTTTTTATACGCTTTGTGTTCATTTTTTTCTTGTTCTTGGATTCCTTACCCGTTTCCAACGTCAGACAAGGTTACCCGATATCCGATAAGGCTCAAATAAGTGCATGCTGTTCCTTTATACATATCTATAGAAACCTTCACAATTTGAGTTGTATTAAAATGAGTCCCCTGGAATGCTGGATAATAAAAGTCATTAATTTCAGAAATTAAAATTCCACTATTAAACATACACAAAGGGACTCATTAGTGTATAATTAGTTATTTTGCTCAAAATTGAAAGTCATTTTAAAGCTCTCTATGTGCAGACACAAGGGTGAAGGTTTTACATTTATTCCATAAAAAGATAAAACACAGAACATTCGCACAATTT